ACATTATAATAGTGTTTCAAAAAACATTAAAATGTCACCCAAATAACATAAAAGTGCCTTAAAAATTGAGCACTAACCCTTATGTTTTCTTGGCCAATTAATGTTGTAATCAAAACATTATTACAATAAGATAACAACACTAGCAAACAAATTAATCCAATGTTTTATTTGTTCTTTTTTCTTCATCTACAAATATTGAGCAACAGCATTCCCAATGTTCTATTGGTTCCCTATTTCATTTTTTTTTTTTTTTTNTTTTTTTTTTTTTTCAATCACCATATGTATTTTCATAATTTATTTCAAATCCTACAAAGCAGCTATTCAACCTTATCAATTGCAGTAGGAGATAAATTGGACAAAAAAAATAGGAAACTTGTTTTCTTTATTTTTAACTTAATCCACATATCCTTCACAAAACTCCATCCTCAAAAGTTCTGACTCTCTAAAACTTTTTTTTTTTTTTACACACACAGGAGGAGTAATACTGGTTCCTCAATTCCCCTCCCAGTAACACGAACTCGGGATCTGGGATACGCCGAGCGAGATATGCGCCACTGCGCTAAACCCTCTTCGTCTCTGACTCTCTAAAACTTCAGGGCAAAACTTTGCTGTGAACAGTTGATCTTTTCCTATCTTGGTTTCATATACAACTTTGAGAGAGATGGAACGATAAAAATGGTAGAGCTCAATTAGGAGAACTCTAAAAAATGACTCTTTTATCTTATACTTCAGCTTTGAATCCTACTACAGGCAAAATCGAGCGAAACGGGAGGATCCGAAAACGAACCGTTCACAATCTGGTCAAAGATCCATTTGTTGGCCGCCTCGGTAAAGTGGGCCCCATCCCAGCTTATCCGGATCGATGGGTCCACACATGACCTGGCGAATACACTCTCTTTCCCGTTCACAACATTCTTCACGCCGCATTTGAAAAGTGCATTGTAATTATATTTCCCTCCGTGACCACAGCAAACAAGAAACGGGTTCTCGAATCCTGCCAAAAAGTCAAAAATAAGATCGTAAAACTCGCAAAATTCGAATCACAAGCAGAAGCTGAAAAAAAACTTGCCGAGTTCCTTAGCTCGGCTGATGAGAGAATATTTGACAGAATAAACATCAACATAGGTAACAGCAGCCAGTGGGAGTTCCTTTCTAAGTCGATAAACTGTGTCCTTCAGTTTAAGATTGAAATACTTTGAGACATCATTGTACGGGCTCGAGCAGCCATATTTATCAATCTGTGCTGCAGTGACTAAAAACCGATCCATTACATACGGCAAACAGCCAACCGGACCCGTGTTGTGTATCCAGAATGATCTTCCTCCGAGAGCGTACACAAGCTATATTACATGAACCAATTATTAGTTTCAATATAAAGAAGATTAAAGTTAATAATTAAACTAATTTAATATAGCTTGTATGTTGACTGATCACCTTTACAATGGTCGAGAACTGAGATAATAAATCGGGCACGTAAGCCTTGACTTGCTCGGTCGAGAGGTTGAGCTTATAACCGGCGGTGAGGTCATTCTGGCCTATGTCGAACGTGTATAATGCCCGAGAGAAGTAATCTTCTTTTGGCAGCAAATTGTGAAAGTAATCTTTATATCAAAAGGGACAA